AACCCCCCAGGACCCGCAAACAATTGCAAATGTTCCTCGGATTCGCCAATTTTTATAGAAATTTCATCCAGAATTTCGCTCAAATTGCCCTTCCTCTGACTGATTTGCTAAAGACCAAGGGGAAGGGTTTTGATGCTACGAAACCAGGCGCCCCGCTTAAATGGTCCCCTGCTTGCGCAGAGGCTTTTGAGAAACTTAAACTGATGTTCACCTCTGAGCCAGTGCTGGCGCGCCCTGATGAAACTAAAAAATTCATTGTCCAAACTGATGCCTCGGATGTGGCAATGGGGGCCGCTATTTTGCAAGAAGGGGAAGATGGTCGTTTACACCCCCTCGCATTTGTGTCTAAAAAGTTTTCTGACGCTGAACGAAACTGGGGGATTTGGGAGAAGGAGGCATCAGCGATCCGGCTGGCTCTCTCCACTTGGAGGCAGTGGTTGGAGGGGGCGCAACTGCCATTTGAAGTCTGGACTGACCATAAAAATCTGGAAATGCTGAAATCCCCCCGTTCTCTCAACGCTAAACAACTTCGTTGGGCGGACTTCTTTGCTAAGTTTCGATTCACTCTTCGTCATTTCCCTGGGACGGCTAATTCCCTGGCTGACGCGCTCTCACGCCTCCCACAACATGACAGTCAGCGTGAAATCATCATGGACTCTGTTTTTTCCCCCTCCCACCTGGGGGGGGCTGTGGTCACCCGTGCGCAAGCGCGCTCGATTCCGCGCTCTGATGAAACTTCGCCTTCCCTTTTCCCTGGGGGGGGGGGGGCTGGGTCCAGAAATATATGTCTGCTTTTACTGCTGATGATGATGCCTCCCTGAAAGCGTTGCCAGATTGTGTCCGTAGCCCTGAAGGTCTGATTTATTCTGGAGACAAACTGTATGTGCCTATTTCAATGAGGAGGGAGGTGATGGAGTCTGCTCACGGTTCGAAACTGGCAGGGCATTGGAGTTTTGTTAAATCTCTGCAACTCATCCGCAGACAGTTCTGGTGGCCACAGATGCGCAAAGACCTCTTGACTTTTGTTCGGTCCTGCCAAACCTGTGCCTTGACTAAACCCAGAGTGGGCAAGCCTCCTGGTCTTCTGCAGCCACTCCCTACCCCATCGAGACCGTGGGAAGTGGTGTCCATGGACTTTATTACTGACCTCCCTGCGAGCAAAGGGAACACTGTTATTTGGGTGGTTGTTGATTTATTTTCTAAGCAAGCTCATTTTGTGCCTTTTCCTTCCTTGCCTACAGCTCAGAGGTTGGCGAAATCGTTTATGTCTCACGTGGTGAAAATTCATCAATTACCTGCTAAATTAATTTCTGACAGGGGGACCCAATTTGTTTCTAAGTTTTGGAGGGAACTTCTTTCCATTTTAGGGGTGGAACAAGGGCTCAGCAGCGCGTATCATCCTGAGACTGACGGACAAACAGAACGAGTTAATCAGACCCTGGAGCAATATCTTCGTTGTTTTACTAATTATCAACAGAATGATTGGTGTGAATTGTTGCCTCTTGCTGAATATTGTTATAACAATACTGTCCATAGCTCCACGGGCATGTCTCCTTATAAAGCTGTCTCTGGTTACGACAGCCCCCCCTCCCTTTCCTGGAGGGGATGGGCCAACGTCCTGTGGGGGATGCTGATACATGGTGTATGTCCTTGCAAAATGCATGGCCTCTGCTATGCCAAACGCTTGACGCAGCCAAGGCTGCTTACAAGACCCAGGCAGACAAGGGTAGGGTGGTGGGGTTTGATCTGAAACCTGGGGATCTTGTGTATGTCTCGACCAAGAACATTAAGATGCTGCGACCTAGCAGGAAATTGGGGTGGAAGTTCATTGGTCCATTCAAAGTGCGTAAAGTCATAAATGATGTGGCGGTTGATGTTGTTTTGCCTAAGAATTTACGTGCTCTGCATTCTGTTTTTCACATGAGCCTGTTGAAGAAGGATCCTGGCCCGTCTCCCTGGAGACCAGCAGTTACTCCTCCTCCACCTGTCATTTTGGAAGGGGATGAACATTTTGAGATCGCTGATATCCTTGATTGTAAATTGAAACGTGGTAAACTCTGGTACCTTATCGAATGGGTTGATTTCGGTCCCCAGCACCGCGAATGGGTGGAAGAAGGGGATATTCGGGCCCCTTACCTGATCCGTAGTTTCCACAAGAGGTTCCCGGACAAACCGGGAGGTCTCCCGCCCAGCCCGGGAGATCTCCCGCCCGACCCGGGAGGTGTGTTGTAAGTGTATTTTAAGGGGGGCAGTATGTCAGCAAGCTGCCATTCTGTTTTCTGTGACCTCTGTGTACATATCCTTTCCCTGTTGCACCCGGCTTGTTTTCTATCATCCTGCTCCTGCGTTGGAATGCACAAGATAACTGCTGGAGGTTGTGTGGGGGAGAAGATGCTGTAATGCTTGCCTATTGCTTTTCTCATGAGTACTGCACCTGTGTTTTGTCTGATGTTCTGCCTGGTTCCCATGGACTGGGCGCGCAACCGTTTCATTAGCCCGCCAGCGGGAATGCTATTCATTGGATCTGTATCTGTTTGAATTTCCTTTATTATGCTTGACCTAACTGTGTATCCCCAGTTCTAACAAAGAACGTGTTTGAGTATGTCTTCAACGCTTTGAAATAAATTTTGCTTTTCTTGAAAACGTGGATTTATTCTCGATGCTTGGGGATCCAACATATTGTTAGAACTCTCTTTCTCCTATCGTTCCGAATCTGGCAAGATCATGAGCGGAACTGAGGGAAACCTACTTAACACGGAGGGGGACTCAGGATCGGTCCCACATACCTCCGCTCCTTTGGTGTTCACGACTGCAGCCTCGGTGGAGGGTGCCGTGGGGGGAACGATTCCCCGCCTGCCTGCACATCTGTCTTGGCCGCCTCCGACCCCTTCGCACTGGGGTCCGCGGAAGACTCAACAGCAGGATGACTGGACTATGTACAACACTCAGGGCACCCGAGAGGTGTACTCCCGTCGGGGGAGCGGATTACGTGAGAGTCTGTTTGACAAGGGATTGTTCCCGGAGCCGGGGACTACCTCGGAGAAGGGGAGTTCCAAGCAAGACCTCGAGGAGTGGATGTTCGAGCCATCGGGGCCGCGAGGCCACGCAGAGGATGAGGAGGGCACCGGAGCCTTCCAAACGGAAGAGGACTATGACCCACCCCCGGACTATCGACCTCGGGACCCCATCCCGGAGGAAACCACCGGGGAACGACTGGCAGAACTGGAATACTCGGTGAGGGACTTGTTGAGGACATTCCAGGATGTAATGGAAGCTCTGCCGGGAATGATGGACGTTAGAATGGCTAATTTCCTTGACGCACACGCCGCGCAGCAACAAGTTGTCCCTGCACCGGGAGTTCCCGCACCGCAGGTGCCTGCTCAGCCGCCGACGGGACCTCCGCTGCAAGTACCGGGAGTTCCCGCGCCGCAGGTGCCTGTCCAGCCGCCGGCGGGACCGCCTCAGCAAGGGCCTGTGCAACAGCCGATGCCGGGGGGTCCGCCGGTGCCGGGTCTGCCGCCACCGATGAGGCCAATGCCAGCGGGGCCACCGGTTGGTCCGGGTCTCCCTCTCAGGGGAGTTCCGGGTCAGCTGGGACCGTTGGTACGGCCTCCATGGCCCAGACCCAAAGATCTACTGGAGGCTACCTTTGACGGCAACCCAGATGAACTCGCTTTCTTCACGGTGAGAGTGCATAAATTCGTAGAAGAGAGCCGACACCTGTTCCGAAATGAAGCTGGTCTTATTGATGTCATCTCGGCAAGACTAAAAGGAGACGCCGCCACATGGTATGTTGGACTGCACAATGACCGCGGTCCGGAACTTTTGAATTTGCGAGCATTCATGTGGGCGCTGCGGGCGAGGTTTGAAGATGTCAACGCGAGCCAAAGAGCTAAAGCGTTTCTCCGCACCTACCGCCAGAATAAGAAGTCGGTTCGCGAGTACACACTGGAATTCCACAAGCAGGCAGCAAAGCTCCGAGACTACCCTGATCATATATTGGCTGAGATGTATCGATTGGGACTCAACGCAGACATCCGAGAAACGGTTCTGAAGACTGTCAATCCTGTCTCCCTGATGGCCTGGACCCAGGAAGCTGAAAATGCAGAGGATCGGCTCACCACCATCAAACTCGACTTGGCTGCTACGACCAACAGACCCGCCGCTGCCAGTGCCTCCAGACCCAAGACTCAACGCCTGTCGGAATCGGCACGAGAACTACGTATGAAGATGGGGCTCTGTCTCAAGTGCGGGGAGAAGGGGCATTTCGCTGTGGATTGTGGCAGCCGTCAGGTAAAAGACAAGCCGCCTACTCCAAGCCCGAAGACACCGCTGACGGGGAAGAAGGGGATGGCTAAACCGCGTTTCTCCAAAGCTCTGCAGGCGGCCCAAGGCCTGGAGGGAATCGAACCGTCTGCTGCCGAGTCAGAAGAGGAGGTGGTGGCTGAAACGGCGGAAAACGACAACGGCCTGTTGTGAGAGGCGCAAAACGACACGGCCATTCTAGCTCTGCGCCCAAGGTGGTGAGAGAAACCCCTTCCCTGTTTTTCGTGACTGTCTCGTTAATGAATCCGCTCCTGGGGACCCACGTTAGGGTGAGAGCGTTGATTGATTCTGGGTGTGGGAGGGATCTCATCAGCCCTAGAGTGTTATTGGCACTGGAAGCGGGGATAGTCCCCTTGAAGTCTCCCATCATTTTTACCCAAATGGATGGGGCACCCATGGAACCTTGTACACACGAGACTATGGCTTTGCGGTTGGGGGCTGGCGATCATTGGGAATCCAGATCCTTCATTGTTACCCCTAAATCGCAGTTTGACTTAGTACTGGGGAGTCCCTGGTTGTTTACCCATGACCCTTACATCTTGTGGGAAGAAGGGGTTGTCAAATTTGTGTCGGCTAAATGTGTAGATCACTGCTGGTTGGACTCGTGGGGGGACCAGCCGACCGCACAGTTCCCCTGCGGCGCTTTGCAGCCGGAAGAGTTAGCTTCTTTGCCTCGAGAGTATAGAGACTTGGCGAAAGTGTTTGGCGAAGATGAAGCTAACGAATTGCCCCCCCATCGCTCTACTGACTGTGCTATTGAACTTTTGCCTGACTGTAAATTACCTAAAGGTAAAATCTATGCGATGGGGCCGGCTGAGAAAGTTGAACTGCGGAACTTTATTGATAAAAACTTAGCCCGAGGTTTCATTCGCCCGGCTTCCTCCCCTTTCGCCGCGCCTGTACTTTTCCGAAAGAAGAAAGACGGGGGGCTTAGATTGTGCACTGATTATAGGGGTCTGAACGCTGTTTCTTTGTCCAATGCCTACCCCCTCCCGCTAATCAAGGACTTGGTAGCTGAGGCCACCAAGGGCAAAATCTTCTCGAAACTTGACCTCCGAGATGCATATTTCCGTGTGCGCATTCGGGAGGGGGATGAAAGTAAGACTGCATTTAATACCCCTTTGGGGCAGTTTGAGTACCTCGTTATGCCCTTCGGGCTTCAAGGGGCTCCGGGGGTCTTCATGAACCTAATCAATGAGGTCCTACATGAGTTCTTGTTCAAAGGAGTGGTCCTTTACCTTGATGACGTGTTGCTGTACTCTCAGGACCTCCCGTCGCATATTAAATTGGTGCGCCAGGTCCTTAAGCGACTTTATGAACACCACCTGTTTGCAAAGCTGTCAAAATGTGAATTCCACAAGACATGCATTGACTTTTTGGGTTATCGCATCTCTGGGGGGAAGGTGGAAATGGACCCTGCTAAAATACAGGCTGTACTTGACTGGGAACCCCCCAGGACCCGCAAACAATTGCAAATGTTCCTCGGATTCGCCAATTTTTATAGAAATTTCATCCAGAATTTCGCTCAAATTGCCCTTCCTCTGACTGATTTGCTAAAGACCAAGGGGAAGGGGTTTGATGCTACGAAACCAGGCGCCCCGCTTAAATGGTCCCCTGCTTGCGCAGAGGCTTTTGAGAAACTTAAACTGATGTTCACATCTGAGCCAGTGCTAGCGCGCCCTGATGAAACTAAAAAATTCATTGTCCAAACTGATGCCTCGGATGTGGCAATGGGGGCCGCTATTTTGCAAGAAGGGGAAGATGGTCGTTTACACCCCCTCGCATTTGTGTCTAAAAAGTTTTCTGACGCTGAACGAAACTGGGGGATTTGGGAGAAGGAGGCGTCGGCTATCCGGCTGGCTCTCTCCACTTGGAGGCAGTGGTTGGAGGGGGCGCAACTGCCATTTGAAGTCTGGACTGACCATAAAAATCTGGAAATGCTGAAATCCCCCCGTTCTCTCAACGCTAAACAACTTCGTTGGGCGGACTTCTTTGCTAAGTTTCGATTCACTCTTCGTCATTTCCCTGGGACGGCTAATTCCCTGGCTGACGCGCTCTCACGCCTCCCACAACATGACAGTCAGCGTGAAATCATCATGGACTCTGTTTTTTCCCCCTCCCACCTGGGGGGGGCTGTGGTCACCCGTGCGCAAGCGCGCTCGATTCCGCGCTCTGATGAAACTTCGCCTTCCCTTTTCCCTGTGGGGGGGGGGCCTGGGTCCAGAAATATGTTTCTGCTTTTACTGATGAAGATAATGCCTCCCTGCGGGCATTGCCGGATTATGTCCGTAGCCCAGAAGGTCTGATTTATTCTGGGGACAAACTGTATGTGCCTATTTCAATGAGGAGGGAAGTGATGGATTCTGCTCATGGTTCCAGACTGGCAGGACATTGGAGTTTTGTTAAATCACTGCAACTCATCCGCAGACAGTTTTGGTGGCCACACATGCGCAAAGACCTATTGACTTTTGTTCGATCCTGTCAGACCTGTGCCTTAACTAAACCCAGGGGGGGCAAGCCTCCCGGTCTTCTGCAACCACTCCCTACTCCATCGAGGCCTTGGGAAGTGGTGTCCATGGACTTTATTACTGATCTCCCTGTGAGCAAAGGGAACACTGTTATTTGGGTGGTTGTTGATTTGTTTTCTAAGCAAGCTCATTTTGTGCCTTTTCCTTCCTTGCCTACAGCTCAGAGGTTGGCGAAATCGTTTATGTCTCACGTGGTGAAAATTCATCAATTACCTGCTAAATTAATTTCTGACAGGGGGACCCAATTTGTTTCTAAGTTTTGGAGGGAACTTCTTTCCATTTTAGGGGTGGAACAAGGGCTCAGCAGCGCGTATCATCCTGAGACTGACGGACAAACAGAACGAGTTAATCAGACCCTGGAGCAATATCTTCGTTGTTTTACTAATTATCAACAAAATGATTGGTGTGAATTGTTGCCTCTTGCTGAATATTGTTATAACAACACTGTCCATAGCTCCACGGGCATGTCTCCTTATAAAGCTGTTTCTGGTTACGACAGCCCCCCCTCCCTTTCCTGGAGGGGATGGGCCAACGTCCTGTGGGGGATGCTGATACATGGTGTATGTCCTTGCAAAATGCATGGCCTCTGCTATGCCAAACGCTTGACGCAGCCAAGGCTGCTTACAAGACCCAGGCAGACAAGGGTAGGGTGGTGGGGTTTGATCTGAAACCTGGGGATCTTGTGTATGTCTCGACCAAGAACATTAAGATGCTGCGACCTAGCAGGAAATTGGGGTGGAAGTTCATTGGTCCATTCAAAGTGCGTAAAGTCATAAATAATGTGGCGGTTGATGTTGTTTTGCCTAAGAATTTACGTGCTCTGCATTCTGTTTTTCACATGAGCCTGTTGAAGAAGGATCCTGGCCCGTCTCCCTGGAGACCAGCAGTTACTCCTCCTCCACCTGTCATTTTGGAAGGGGATGAACATTTTGAGATCGCTGATATCCTTGATTGTAAATTGAAACGTGGTAAACTCTGGTACCTTATCGAATGGGTTGATTTCGGTCCCCAGCACCGCGAATGGGTGGAAGAAGGGGATATTCGGGCCCCTTACCTGATCCGTAGTTTCCACAAGAGGTTCCCGGACAAACCGGGAGGTCTCCCGCCCAGCCCGGGAGATCTCCCGCCCGACCCGGGAGGTGTGTTTTAAGTGTATTTTAAGGGGGGCAGTATGTCAGCAAGCTGCCATTCTGTTTTCTGTGACCTCTGTGTACATATCCTTACCCTGTTGCACCCGGCTTGTTTATACTATCCTACTTCTGTGCTGGAATGCCTAAGATAACTACTGGTGGATGTGTGGGGGAGAAGATGCTGTAATGCTTGCCTATTGCTATCTCATGAGAACTGCACCTGTGTTTTGTCTGATGTTCTGCCTGGTTCCCATGGACTGGGCGCGCAACCGTTTCATTAGCCCGCCAGCGGGAATATTATTCATTGGATATGTATCTGTTTGAATTTCCTTTATTATGCTCGCCCTAACTGTGTATCCCCAGTTCTAACAAAGAACGTGTTTGAGTATGTCTTCAACGCTTTGAAATAAATTTTGCTTTTCTTGAAAACGTGGATTTATTCTCGATGCTTGGGGATCCAACACTGGAAAGGGGGAGATTGGGGAGGGCTGGTTCAGGACATCAGTGGGGTACAACGCCACACAGTTGACCTTCCAAAGTAGTCATTTTCTCTAGGGAGGACAGTTGTAATTCTAAGAGATCTCCAGTCCCCATGTGATGGTTGGCGACACTATGATGAGTACAGGGCAGTCTTCCTTGATAGGTGGGGCTGCCAGAGTTGCAGATGAAGCTCCAAAGAAAAGAACAGAGATTTCAAGGTGCTGCAAAATTCATAGCAAACATGTTTGGAAGGCCAGCGTGTTGTCTTTGGTAGCTACGATCACTTGTGAGCTGAGTCTCAGATCTCTTTGTTAAAATCTGAGCTGACATCTGGGCTGAGTAGCTGCTGAACAGCCTTGCAGTACATGATGTGGTGGAGTTTCCAACCCCTCTGCCTTGCTGCTGCTTTTGACTCTGCATAGATGATGAAACCTACTCTTCCCCAGGGTCACAGAAAGCCAGTTTGGTGTAGTGGTTAAGTGCGCAAACTCTAATCTGGGAGAACCGGGTTTGATTCCCCACTTCTCCACATGCAGCTGCTGGTTTGACCTTGGATCAGTCACAACTTCTCTTGAGAGAGCTCTCTCAACCCCAACTACCTTACAGGGTGTCTGTTGTGGGGAGGGGAAGGGAAAGGAAAGGAGATTTTAAGCCACTCTGAGACTTCTTCGGGTAGTGAAGCGTGGAGTATAAATCCAATTTCTTCTTCTTCTTCTTCTTCTTCTTCCTCTTCTTCTTCTTCTTCTTCTTCTTCTTCTTCTTCTTCTTCTTCTTCTTCTTCTTCTTCTTCTTCCCTGTTATTGATACCATGTATGTGGGGAATTATAAGTGAAAAGATGCATATACCAAACAAAAACAACCCCCCAACCTTTATAACCTGGTCTTAGATTAACACTGAATGGCTAAATGTTATTTAAACCAGTATTCAGAAAAATTACTAAGTAACTTGTTCACTCACTCAGATTTTAAAAAATCACTTCCACCAGTAATGACAGGTCTGTGAGAGTATGTGTGTGTAACTAGAACTCTCATTGGACTGTTGGAGAATGTGCAGGCCTGAAATACTACGATCTGCACTGTACTGTTTGAATATGCAGGAGCTAACTGAATGGGCTTGACTTCCCCACAAACAGCCAAAGTGTTCAATGGGGAAAAAATCACTCCAGTGAGTGCTCCCTTCTCATTTGGTGGCCAAAGTATTTGAGCTTCAGTTTCATTATCTGGCCTTCCAGGGAACACTCAGGGTTGATTACTTTTAGGATTGACTGATCTTCTTGCAGTCCAAGGGACTCTCAAGAGTCTTCTCCAGCACCATAGTTCAAAAGAATCTATTCTTCGGCGCTCGGCCTTCCTTTTAGTCCAACTCTTGCAGCCATACATGACTACTGGGAATACCATTGCTTTGACCATGTGGACTTTTGTTGGCAGGGTGATGTCTCTACTTTTTATCATGCTGTTTAGGTTCGCCATCGCTTTCCTCCCAAGGAGCAGGCGTCTTTTAATTTCATGGCTGCTGTCACAGTCTGCGGTGATCTGGGATCCCAGGAACGTGAAGTCTGTCACCACTTCCACGACTTCCCCTTCTATTTGCCAAGGAGTGATGGGGCCGGATGCCATGATCTTAGTTTTTTTGATGTTGAGCTTCAAGCCCACTTTTGCGCTCTCCTCTTTTACCCTGAGCAAGAGGCTCTTAAGGTCCTCTTCACTTTCTGCCATCAGAGTGGTATCGTCTGCATATCTGAGGTTGTTGATCTTTTCCCCAGCAATCTTAATGCCCGCTTGTGATTCATCTAGGCCAGCATTTCGCATGATGTACTCTGCATATATATTAAATAAGCAAGGCGACAATATACATCCTTGTCGTACTCCTTTTCCTATGCTGAACCAATCAGTTGTTCCATATCCGGTTCTAACTGTCGCTTCTTGGCCCTTATACAGGTTTCTCAAGAGACATGTGAGGTGGTCTGGTACTCCCATCTCTTTAAGGCCCTGCCATAGTTTGTTGTGATCCACACAGTCAAAAGCTTTAGCATAGTCAATGAAGCAGAAGTAGATATTTTTCTGGTACTCTCTTGCTTTCTCCATAATCCAGCGAATGTTGGCAATTTGATCTCTAGTTCCTCTACCTCTTCGAAACCCAGCTTGTACTTCTGGTAGTTCTCTATCCACGTACTGTTGAAGCCTAGCTTGTAGGATCTTGAGCATGACCTTGCTAGCGTGTGATATGAGTGCAATTGTGCGATAGTTTGA